TTACTACTGCCATTGCTACTGTCGTTGCTGCTACTGTTTCTGCTGTTACTACTGCCATTGCTACTGTCGTTGCTGCTACTGTTTCTGCTGTTACTAGTGCTATTGCTACTGTCGTTGCTGCTACTGTTTCTGCTGTTACTAGTGCTATTGCTACTGTCGTTGCTGCTACTGTTTCTGCTGTTACTACTGCCATTGCTACTGTCGTTGCTGCTACTGTTTCTGCTGTTACTACTGCCATTGCTACTGTATTGCTGTCTGCTTTGCGTTACTAGTGCTTTGTACTGTCGTTGTGCTACTGTCGTTGTTATGCTATTGCTACTGTCGATTGCTGCTACTGTTTTGCTGTTACTACTGCCATTGCTACTGTCGTTGCTGCTACTGTTTCTGCTGTTACTACTGATATTGCTACTGTCGCTGCTGCTACTGTTTCTGCTGTTACTAGTGCTATTGTTACTGTCGTTGCTGCTACTGTTTCTGCTGTTACTACTGCCATTGCTACTGTCGTTGCTGCTACTGTTTCTGCTGTTACTAGTGCTATTGCTACTGTCGTTGCTGCTACTGTTTCTGCTGTTACTAGTGCTATTGCTACTGTCGTTGCTGCTACTGTTTCTGCTGTTAATACTGCATTGCTACTGTCGTTGCTGCTACTGTTTCTCTGTTACTACTGCCATTGCTACTGTCATTGCTGCTACTGTTTCTGCTGTTACTACTGGCCATTGCTACTGTCGTTGCTGCTACTGTTTCTGCTGTTACTAGTGCTATTGCTACTGTCGTTGCTGCTACTGTTTTTGCTGTTACTACTGCCATTGCTACTGTCGTTGCTGCTACTGTTTCTGCTGTTACTACTGCCATTGCTACTGTCGTTGCTGCTACTGTTTCTGCTGCTACTACTGCCATTGCTACTGTCGTTGCTGCTACTGTTTCTGCTGTTACTAGTGCTATTGCTACTGTCGTTGTTGCTACTGTTTCTGCTGTTACTACTGCCATTTCTACTGTCGTTGCTGCTACTGTTTCTGCTGTTACTACTGCCATTGCTACTGTCGTTGCTGCTACTGTTTCTGCTGTTACTACTGCCATTGCTACTGTCGTTGCTTCTACTGTTTCTGCTGTTACTAGTGCTATTGCTACTGTCGTTGCTGCTACTGTTTCTGCTGTACTAGTGCTATTGCTACTGTCGTTGCTGCTACTGTTTCTGCTGTTACTACTGCCATTGCTACTGTCGTTGTTGCTTCTGTTTCTGCTGTTACTACTGCCATTGCTACTGTCGTTGTTGCTACTGTTTCTGCTGTTACTACTGCCATTGCTACTGTCGTTGCTGCTACTGTTTGTGCTGTTACTAGTGCTATTGCTACTGTCGTTGCTGCTACTGTTTCTGCTGTTACTAGTGCTATTGCTACTGTCGTTGCTGCTACTGTTTCTGCTGTTACTACTGCCATTGCTACTGTCGTTGCTGCTACTGTTTCTGCTGTTACTAGTGCTATTGCTACTGTCGTTGCTGCTACTGTTTCTGCTGTTACTACTGCCATTGCTACTGTCGTTGCTGCTACTGTTTCTGCTGTTACTACTGCCATTGCTACTGTCGTTGCTGCTACTGTTTCTGCTGTTACTACTGCCATTGCTACTGTCGTTGCTGCTACTGTTTCTGCTGTTACTAGTGCTATTGCTACTGTCGTTGCTGCTACTGTTTCTGCTGTTACTACGCCATGCTACTGTCGTTGCTGCTACTGTTTCTGCTGTTACTAGTGCTATTGTTTATGTCGTTTGCTGCTACTGTTTCTCCCCTTTTAGTACTGCCATTGCTACTGTCGTTGCTGCTACTGTTTCTGCTGTTACTACTGCCATTGCTACTGTCGTTGCTGCTACTGTTTCTGCTGTTACTAGTGCTATTGCTACTGTCGTTGCTGCTACTGTTTCTGCTGTTAGTAGTGCTATTGCTGCTGTCGATGCTGCTACTGTTTTTGCTGTTACTACTGCCATTGCTACTGTCGTTGCTGCTACTGTTTCTGCTTTTTCCTAGTGTTATTGCACTGTCGGTTGCTGCTACTGTTTTTGCTTTTAAACTACTGCCATTGCTACTGTCGTTGCTGCTACTCCTTCTGCTGTTACTAGTGCTATTGCTACTGTCGTTGCTGCTACTGTTTTTGCTGTTACTACTGCCATTGCTACTGTCGTTGCTGCTACTGCTTCTGCTGTTACTAGTGCTATTGCTACTGTCGTTGCTGCTACTGTTTTTGCTGTTACTACTGCCATTGCTACTGTCGTTGCTGCTACTGATTCTGCTGTTACTAGTGCTATTGCTACTGTCGTTGCTGCTACTGTTTTTGCTGTTACTAACTGCAATTGTTTACTGTCGTTGCTGCTACTGTTTGTGCTGTTACTAGTGCTATTGCTACTGTCGTTGCTGCTACTTTTTCCCTTGCTGTTAACTAGTGCTATTGCTACTGTCGTTGCTGCTACTGTTTCTGCTGTTATACGCCATTGCTACTGTCGTTGCGCTACTGTTTCTGCTGTTACTAGTGCTATTGCTACTGTCGTTGCTGCACTGTTTCTGCTGTTACTATTTTTGCATTGCTACTGCGTTGTGCTACTGTTTCTGCTGTTATTTACTGCCATTGCAAACTGTCTTTTGCTGCTACTGTTTCTGCTGTTACTACTGCCATTGCTACTGTCGTTGCTGCTACTGTTTCTGCTGTTACTAGTGCTATTGCTACTGTCTTTTGCTGCTACTTGTTTCTGCTGTACTACTGCCATTGTTTACTGTCGTTGCTGCTACTGTTTCTGCTGTTACTAGTGCTATTGCTACTGTCGTTGCTGCTACTGTTTCTGCTGTTAGTACTGCCATTGCTACTGTCGTTGCTGCTACTGTTTCTGCTGTTACTACTGCCATTGCTACTGTCGTTGCTGCTACTGTTTCTGCTGTTACTAGTGCTATTGCTACTGTCGTTGCTGCTACTGTTTCTGCTGTTAGTAGTGCTATTGCTGCTGTCGATGCTGCTACTGTTTTTGCTGTTACTACTGCCATTGCTACTGTCGTTGCTGCTACTGTTTCTGCTGTTCCTAGTGTTATTGCTACTGTCGTTGCTGCTACTGTTTTTGCTGTTACTACTGCCATTGCTACTGTCGTTGCTGCTACTCCTTCTGCTGTTACTAGTGCTATTGCTACTGTCGTTGCTGCTACTGTTTTTGCTGTTACTACTGCCATTGCTACTGTCGTTGCTGCTACTGCTTCTGCTGTTACTAGTGTATTGCTACTGTCGTTGCTGCTACTGTTTTTGCTGTTACTACTGCATTGCTACTGTCGTTGCTCTGATTCTGCTGTTACTAGTGCTATTGCTACTGTCGTTGCTGCTACTGTTTTTGCTGTTACTACTGCCATTGCTACTGTCGTTGCTGCTACTGTTTCTGCTGTTACTAGTGCTATTGCTACTGTCGTTGTTGCTACTGTTTCTGCTGTTACTACTGCCATTGCTACTGTCGTTGCTGCTACTGTTTCTGCTGTTACTACTGCCATTGCTACTGTCGTTGCTGCTACTACTGCCGGAGAGAAAATATAAATTCAGGAAGCAGGGCTAAGAAGAACTGGCTTTAGAGGTGTCAACTCAGCTCCTCTTATCTTTAACGTAGAACTTACTGGTGCTACACAAGGCTACCTACGAGAGGAAGATGTCGTAACTCGCCAGCGAGGTTGGACCTTCTTTTCACCTGCAGTGAAACGAACATTAAGGAAGTTTAAATAATAAATGCGAGGAATTACCGTGTGCTTGCTGACTGCTACGTGTCAATAGTGACACTAGAGGGAGATAGAGGAGCTGGGGAGTCAAGCTAATACAGGAGACATTTGCATTTGGGAAGCTTGATGAAGACTCCTTCAGCATCCTATTTACTTCATATGCGTGATCCGTAAGTGAGTAAGCAGCGCCGGTGTGCAGCCCCTACCTTGTGAAACACAAAGTGTGTGGCATGCAAAGAGTATGTTACACTTTATTCGGCATATGTACACACTCCCATATAGGCTGCCTCCCAACCAGCTAACTGGGTGCTAAGGGATTAACGATCTTTACGGGCCCCATCGTTAAATCAGTACCCTGGTTCATTGACCAATCACAGACGAGCCCGCCAAGTGCTAAGACGACGTGGTATCACTGGTGGTCAACACTGACCAGACTCGCCTCTGGCTGGGCGAAGCACTGTGCTCTCTCTCGCTGTCTTTGCCTCCGTCTCCGTGTTATACACTTATACTTCATTCTTATACATTGTGTACATAAGTGTACATATCTGTATATAAACATTTGGTGAAGGAAAATATAAGCTAAATATTCTGTTGTGTTCATTTTCGCCACAAACCCATTATGACCAGGTCAACAGGCCGTTAACATTTCCTGTGTTCGTAATAAAGTGAAACTCGGGAAACACCAGGAGCCTCCGTCACGTAAATAGTGAAAAGCGAAAGGAAATACAACCACGACATGAAAAATACTTTGAGTCATACTGAGGGTAGACAACATATAAAGTCTTTACCAGAAGCACAGCAAGAACTAGAGAGAAATGGTTGGAAATGGCAGCGAAATAAACGACATTTCTTTCACTCCAGAATGATTCAGAGGTGGAATCCATACCGATGACACAATTAGTTCAGATAAGAAGGGGAACCAAGAGCTAGAGCACAACAACTCCAAACTCATATAGGTAATTTACAAGTGTATAGGTAAAGAGGCACTATGACACATGCGAAATTTGACATAGGAAGGTACAAGGGTTAGGAACACAGGTACACAGAACAGGTACATAGGTCAGGTGCACAGATACACAGGTTCATAGGTACACAGGTCAGGTACACAGATACACAGGTCCACAGAGACACAGATAAACAGGCCCAGATATACAGGTACATAGGTCCACAGATACACAGGTACACTGGTTCTCAAGCATGCAGGTATATTTCCAAAGAACTGAAAAGACAACGTGACAAACCTTGACGCAGTAGAGACAGCGAGACTTACCATCAGCTCCTCCTGCAACAACAATAAGAACATTACTATATAATCACATCAGAAAGTCAACAAAACACATAATGTTGATATGTATTGTTAAAATTAACGTGTCGTCAGCCTCACAAGGTAAAGACTAAGAACATAAAACAGTTGGGTATCTTTATTGAGAAATGTTTCGCTTAAAGTAAAATTTTTCTGTCAAAAAAGAGGCACATATTAGTGAAAAAAAGATGATGTAGTCAGCCCATCAACCTTGGAGAAACAGTATTTGAGGGGTCACCCCCTCAGTGGGGACTGCCACCTCAGGTGATGGATGATTTATCATCTTTATTTATTTGCTGTGCCTCTGTTTTTTGATGAAAGCCTAAAACAGTTCAATAACCTACAATACGTGGGTACAACAGTTCCAACTAACCTCAATACTATGGCTACAACAGTTCAAAAATAACCTACAATACCATGGTACAAAAAGTTCACAATAACCTACAATCCCTGGCTAAAACTTTTTAAACTAACCTACAATATTGGCTACAAACAGTTACAACTACCTCAATACCATGGCTACAACAGTTTACAACACTACAATACCATGGCTACAACAGTTCACACTCCTACTTTGCCATGGCTCCGGTTACACTAACTCTCAATCCCTTTGGTACAAAGTGTACAACTGTAATAAATACTATGGCTACAAAGGTAAAATAACTAAATATTCTGTTGTGTTCATTTTCGCCTCAAACCCATTATGACAGGTCAACAGGCGTTAACATTTCCGTGTTCGTAATAACGTGAAATACAGGAAACACAGGAGCACCGTCACGAAATAGTGAAAAGCGAAAGGAATACAACCACGACAACTAAAAATACTTTGGTACAACTGAGGTAACAACATATAAAGTCTTTACCAAACACAGCAGACTAAGAGAAATGGTGGAAATGGCAGCGAAATAAACGACATTTCTTTCACTCAGAATGATCACAGGTGGAATCCATACGATGACACAATTAGTTCAGATAGAAGGAACCATGAGCTAGCCAACAACTTCCAAAACTCATAGTAATTACATGTTATAGGTTAAGAGGCACTATGACACATGCAAATTTGACATAGGAAGTACAGTTAGAACACAGGTTCACAGAACAGTAAAGTCAGTGCACAGATACACAGGTTCATAGGTACACAATCAGGTACACAGATACACAGGTCACGAGAACAGATAAACAGCCAATATACATGGTACATAGGTCCACAGACTACACAGGTACATGTACTCAAGGCATGACAGTATATTTCCAAGAACTGAAAGACACGTGACAAACCTTGACGCAGTAGAGACAGCGAGACTTACCATCAGCTCCTCTGCAACACAATAAGAACATGTACTTATAATCATCAAAAGTCAACAAAACACATAATGTTAACGATGTTATCAATATAACTGTGTGTCTATGCCTACAAGTAAACTAAACACTAATAACAGTTGGGTATCTTTATTGATGAAATGTATCGCTATACCATGTAGAATCTTCTGTCAAATACAGAGGCAGCAGTACATAGTGAAATAAGTGCATTAGTCAGTCCATCAACTCTGAGAAACAGTATTTGAGGTGGTCAGTCCCTCAGCTGAGGGACTGACCACCTCAAGGCTGATGGATGATTCTATCATCTTTATCTTATTACTGCTGCTGCCTCTGTATTTGACTGAAGAAGCCTACAACAGTTCACAACTAACCTACAATACCGTGGCTACAACAGTTCACAAATAACCTACAATACTGTGGCTACAACAGTTCACAAGTAACCTACAATACCGTGGCTACAACAGTTCACAACTAACCTACAATACCATGGCTACAACAGTTTACAACTAACCTACAATACTATGGCTACAACAGTTTACAACTAACCTACAATACCATGGCTACAACAGTTTACAACTAACCTACAATACCATGGCTACAACAGTTCACAACTAACCTACAATACCATGGCTACAACAGTTCACAACTAATCTACAATACCATGGCTACAACAGTTTACAACTAACCTACAATACTATGGCTACAACAGTTCACAACTAACCTACAATACCATGGCTACAACAGTTCACAACTAACCTACAATACCATGGCTACAACAGTTCACAACTAACCTACAATACCATGGCTACAACAGTTCACAACTAACCTACAATACCATGGCTACAACAGTTTACAACTAACCTACAATACTATGGCTACAACAGTTCACAACTAACCTACAATACCATGGCTACAACAGTTCACAAACTAACCTACAATACCATGGCTACAACAGTTCACAACTAACCTACAATACCATGGCTACAACAGTTCACAACTAACCTACAATACCATGGCTACAACAGTTTACAACTAACCTACAATACCATGGCTACAACAGTTCACAACTAACCTACAATACCATGGCTACAACAGTTCACAACTAACCTACAATACCATGGCTACAACAGTTCACAACTAACCTTACAATACCATGGCTACAGCAGTTCACAACTAACCTACAATACCATGGCTACAACAGTTTACAACTAACCTACAATACCATGGCTACAACAGTTCACAACTAACCTACAATACCATGGCTACAACAGTTCACAACTAACCTACAATACCATGGCTACAACAGTTCACAACTAACCTACAATACTATGGCTACAACAGTTCACAACTAACCTACAATACCATGGCTACAACAGTTCACAACTAACCTACAATACCATGGCTACAACAGTTCACAACTAACCTACAATACCATGGCTACAACAGTTCACAACTATCCTACAATACCATGGCTACAACAGTTCACAACTAACCTACAATACCATGGCTACAACAGTTCACACCTAACCTACAATACCATGGCTACAACAGTTCACAACTAACCTACAATACCATGGCTACAACAGTTCACAACTAACCTACAATACCATGGCTACAACAGTTCACAACTAACCTACAATACCATGCCTACAACAGTTCACAACTAACCTACAATACCATGGCTACAACAGTTCACAACTAACCTACAATACTATGGCTACAACAGTTCACAACTAACCTACAATACCATAGCTACAACAGTTCACAACTAACCTACAATACCATGGCTACAACAGTTCACAACTAACCTACAATACTATGGCTACAACAGTTTACAACTAACCTACAATACCATGGCTACAACAGTTCACAACTAACCTACAATACCATGGCTACAACAGTTTACAACTAACCTACAATACCATGGCTACAACAGTTCACAACTAACCTACAATACCATGGCTACAACAGTTCACAACTAACTTACAATACATGGCTACAAACAGTTCACAACTAACCTACAATACCATGACTACAACAGTTCACAACTAACCTACAATACATGGCTACAACAGTTCACAACTAACCTACAATTACCATGGCTACAACAGTTCACAACTAACCTACAATACCATCGCTACAACAGTTCACAACTAACCTACAATACCATGGCTACAACAGTTCACAAACTAACCTACAATACCATGGCTACAACAGTTTACAAACTAACCTACAATACTCATGGCTACAAACAGTTTACAACTAACCTACAATACCATGGCTACAACAGTTCACAACTAACCTACAATACCATGGCTACAACAGTTCACAACTAACTTACAATACCATGGCTACAACAGTTCACAACTAACCTACAATACCATGACTACAACAGTTCACAACTAACCTACAATACTATGGCTACAACAGTTCACAACTAACCTACAATACCATGGCTACAACAGTTCACAAACTAACCTACAATACCATGGCTACAACAGTTCACAACTAACCTACAATACCATGGCTACAACAGTTCACAACTAACCTACAATACCATGGCTACAACAGTTACAACTAACCTACAATACCATGGCTACAACAGTTTACAACTAACCTACAATACCATGGCTACAACAGTTTACAACTAACCTACAATACCATGGCTACAACAGTTTACAACTAACCTACAATACCATGGCTACAACAGTTACAAACTAACCTACAATACCATGGCTACAAGAGTTCACAACTAACCTACAATACCATGGCTACAACAGTTCACAACTAACCTACAATACCATGGAGACAACAGTTCACAACTCACCTACAATACTATGCCTACAACAGTTCACAACTAACCTACAATACCATGGCTACAACAGTTCACAACTAACCTACAATACCATGGCTACAACAGTTCACAACTAACCTACAATACCATGGCTACAACAGTTCACAACTAACCTACAATACCATGGCTACAACAGTTCACAACTAACCTACAATACCATGGCTACAACAGTTCACAATAACCTACAATACCATGGCTACAACAGTTCACAACTAACTACAATACCATGGCTACAACAGTTCACAACTAACCTACAATACCATGGCTACAACAGTTCACAACTAACCTACAATACCATGGCTACAACAGTTTCACAACTAACCTACAATACCATGGCTACAACAGTTCACAACTAACCTACAATACCATGGCTACAACAGTTCACAACTAACACAATACCATGGCTACAACAGTTCACAACTAACCTACAATACCATGGCTACAACAGTTCACAACTAACCTACAATACTATGGCTACAACAGTTCACAACTAACCTACAATACCATGGCTACAACAGTTCACAACTAACTACAATACCATGGCTACAACAGTTCACAACTAACCTACAATACTATGGCTACAACAGTTTACAACTAACCTACAATACCATGGCTACAACAGTTCACAACTAACCTACAATACCATGGCTACAACAGTTCACAACTAACACAATACCATGGCTACAACAGTTCACAACTAACACAATACCATGGCTACAACAGTTCACAACTAACACAATACCATGGCTACAACAGTTCACAACTAACTACAATACCATGGCTACAACAGTTCACAACTAACCTA